AGAGCAGCCTACAGACTGGAACAAACAGACACAATATTTTTGTGTACAATGATAGGAATAGTTTAATATATTACATATGCCAAATTTATAAGAGAAACTAAGAATTTGTCTTTGACAGCATTTCACAACGCTTACAAAGTTTACTCTACCTCAACAACTCACGAAACTCCATGATTTTTTAAGGGAGTCTGTGGCTGATTGGCCTATCTCAATGAGGATAACGAGAATGCATTTGCAAAGGTAAGATCGGATCATTTATTATCTGTATACTATTTATTACCAGGTCTATATGGGGTGTTAGTTTCACAGCAGGGGTGACTAATAAATCTAAGGATGGCTCTGTTCTATCAGTGTGACAATGTGCTAACATAACACAATACAATGGACCTTGAAACTGAAGCAGCTAAACTGAATTTAGCCATTAATAATTTGATCATTTATACCTGTGCCTTCCCACTGTGACATGTTCAAGTGTCTCCTATCAAAAAAGCCTATTAGGTAAGGTAACCAAAGTCCACATCCATGTGGGAGATGTCAATCAAGACAGTCTTTACACAGTCAAACTCTACTGAGAGAAGAGCTAATTAAGCAAAATAAGTGAAAACACGTGCAGTTGAACAGTGGGTGCGTAGTGCCTTTAAAGTTTGGATAATTATAGGAATCTAAAAGTACTTAGTAAATGCTGCAGAACAGAACCACATATGATTTGGGATGTTGATGCATTATTCAGTCGAGGGTAATTCCATTGCTATCACAGATAAATACCTTAAATTAGCTAATTTAGCTGTTTCACATATTAAGAGCAGTTCATTAACAAGTGAAACCAAATACAAACAGGGTACAGCTTCATTTAAATTAACTGAGTTGGTTGCATTATTGTTAATATTGATGTAACTGCTTGCAATGGTGACTTTACAGCTATTTTACCACCGCTTTGTTCACACCTCTATTAATTCTTTTCACCAAGTGGGAGATATTGTGTCGTCACAAATTTCAGATAAATCAGACTCGGAACAACGTAGACATTCATGTGTATCATTTTCCGACTGAAATATATGACGTAAATGTGGTTAAACGGTTAAAAAACAGAGGACAATTTCAATAGGACTTACTGAAAAAAATGCTCTACAGGCACTCTTCACACTGGTTAGCACTCTGAAAAAAAAATCCCTAAGCAATTGGCGTGTGTTAGGAGAGGATAGGAAGTGTGGAGGCAGAAGAGAGGACAACACAATCTGTCCTCCTGCGTGCTCTCTGTGGAGCTGCAAGACAGACCAGCCAGGAAAAATTAAATTTTTTCCTTTTAGGGGATTTAGCCCATTCAGCCTCTAATGGTTCTCTTTGTTTTGTCAATGTCTTTGTTGAACAGCAGCTGACAGAACCAGTACAGGCCTTTACACAGGATCACCAGCAGGATCACATTGTGTCATCTTGAGTCATTGTTTGATGAGAGAGCGATGATGTTCAACGCCACGGCAGTGCTGCCTCAAGGGTGGATGACAAATCCAATTCAATCTCAGTGCCTCTGTGTCAATGTGTTAACCTTTGCTGACAAACAGGCAAACAGCAGCAACAGATTTTGCAAATAGGGTTTATGTGATCATTAAGAAAAATCTTAATTACTTATTAAAACAAAGATTGCACACAATTTAGCAATTAACATATACAATTAACCTGCGAATATAGCCCAATCTTTGAAGAAATCAATGTTATCTCAGTTTCTGTCTTATGTGTCTGCCTATGTCGTTTACAATACTGTAGAGGATTTGCAGGATCAGTTTGTGCCAATTTGACCCAAAGTCAAAAGTTATGAAAAGAGTAGAACTCTATTTGTAATATTCAAAGATGCATCCCACATTGTCTTTTGTGCAATGACTAAAAGGGCGGAGAAATGTGAGAAAGACAAAAAGTGGAGGTGGAACTTTAACCCAACACTTTGCAAAGTGATAGATTGGAGGCTTGAGACAGAAAATAAATGAGCAACAGATAGAGATGGGAGAGTGAGGAGAAAGAGTGTGGGAGCACTATGACTGACAAACATACAGTGACATGTTCCCCACACACCCACTAACACTGTGAAAAATAAAGGTTATTAGTGTGGTTGAGGCTGAGGTACTCAAACGGTATGATATTTGAAGCCTTCCACTCTCCCTTGTCATATAAAAACCAATATTCGCCCTGCACTCCATATAAACAGTATACTGCAGCACACACTTACTGTATCATCTACAACTATCAATCAAAGTTGAGGGAGCTGGGAAGACAGAGCTTCACCTCTTCCTCCTCTCCCTCAATTCTTAATAGAGAATGAGCTCTTTTCAAGGTGCCAAACTGCCTACTAATGTCTGTTGAATGTGAGTCCAGCTTTCTTTCACACACAGTAGTGGACCAGACATACTGTCTCCGCATGGGAGTTGAAATTCATGACAATCAAAGTTGTATTTTTAAATCCTACTACTACTCATAATAATGGTGATTTTAATATGGGCAATATATCATCGTCTTGAGTTAGTATTTCTGCTGCAGTCTCATAAGGCTAGCTCTGTCCTTTTTTTTAAATCTATATATAATTTTTGGGGGCACCTTTAACGGATACAGTATGCTATATTCGATTACTGTTGCTTGATATAAACAGTCTAGCTCATTGCCACTTTAATTATCTTAGTTCTGGCTGTCCAACTGTATTTCCCCTGATGTCAACTCAGCAAGACACTTACCTCATCTGCCCTCCTCGCAGATGAGCATGCACACACACACACACACACACACACACACACACACACACCCAACTTAATTGAATATTTCTACTTCTTTCTTAAATGCAGCTCTCCTGTTTGATAAAATATTCACACAGAAAATAAAAAATAAAAAAATCTCATCACGGATCACAGATCAAGATGAAATGGTGATTAGGAATGTCATAAAACCAAACCAGTATATTTTTAAATATGCCAAAATATTCTTTCAAATTTAAAACCATCATTTTTTTTGAAAATGCGAACAAATTTTAATTATGAATGTCTCCCTGTCTTTAAAACATTATTTTCTCTCATTTCAGCCATGATAAATGTGTATTTTACCAGTATTCCCAATTGTGTTTGTACCAATTATTGCAACATTAATTACAATACAACTGAAATGTCTACAGAGTATCTATTTGTTTACCAGGATACATACTTAAATTGACTAATGTCACATCCCTATAGATACATTTAAATATTGTCAACACCATCTGATATTCTGAATCTCCAGTCTAAATGCACCATTACAAGAAATCCCTGCTGTGGTGTGGAAACACAACAACCCTGTTTACTGTAAAAGTGGTGCAGGTGTTGTTTGAACAGAGACATTTAACAGTCGACTATGAATATTCAAACCTGGTGTGAACCTGTGGTTATCAATAAACATAGAGGAGCGACTGCACATACCAAAACTTTAGCAATCTTTTGACTGTTACCATAGGAACACAATCTGACACACACAGTGTTTCCCTCACCTACTGCCACATCCATCTGCTTACCATTTTGTGTTCCTGATCTAATGAGAGATTCTATCAGGTTGAGAGGCGACAAACACACACACTTCACTCATCCCTGCTACCTCTGAATGCACAAACATTTGGACATGCTATCTCACGGATGGTCTGAGAACAGGATGTGCCAAAAAGTACAGTGACATTCATGAGAAGAAGACAGAGCCAGAGAGAGAAAGAGAGCGTTCAATAAGAAATATGAATATAGGGAAAGACTGAGATTAAACACTAAACTTAAAGAAAAAAGTCTTAGCAGAGCTGCAGACAGTGGAAATAAGAATAATGCTGCATGATGACACTGTCCAAGATCTAGATTTTCATTCTCTTCACACAAACTCATCCATTCTGTTCACTCCCAGAGCCAAGCTCTCAGCAAAACCAAACCATAATTATAGTTTCTATTGAACAAAGATGGAGGGGAATTAATTAGGCAGCAGTCAAGTTGGTAAAACACTTCTCTGTTACTCCATCACTCTCTGTTCCCTCCATCATTGAGCCATTAACTAATGAAGGAGAGTGTAAGATAAAGAGAGAGCCGTCATTAATTAGCAGACACTTTTCCCTTTTATTAATTGTGCCCGATGAACCTCGGGATTCTTGTAAATGCTTCCTAATCAGCGAGTGATTGGAGAAGACCTGAGAGGGCAGAAGATGTATGTGTGTATGAAAGGTATGTCCAAATATTCAATATTCCAACTAGACACATAAATAGATAGACTCGCCACAAACACACAAAGTAAAACCCTCCCACTGCTCCCACATCTGGGAGAGAGGAAGTCTGTAACGATAACAATCCATCCTTTTCCATGCTGCTTTCCTTAAGATTGCATTTCTCCTCCAGAATCTCTCCATCCATCTACTGAAATCCCATTTTCATGACAAACAATAAGACACACACACTCACTCCGTCACTGCTCCCTGCAGCTGTCAGAAAACAGGTGGGGGTGAGCGGGGTGATGGGATGGGAGGGGGAGAAAATAACATGAGTAAGGGGAGAGGTGACAGGAAAGGAATGGAAACACCGTGAATCACCGGAGAATTTGAGGGATTACCTGTGAAAGGTTTTTGTGTGTGTGTGTGTGTGTGTGTGTGTGTGTGTGTGTGTGTGTGTGTGTGTGTGGTATAGTCATAACAGTGTGTTTGTGAGGCATCTATCCGAACTTGAAAATAGCTAAAATACAGATAACCATTTCTCCATTGGCACACTCATCCCTTTGTCTAGCTATCCTGCTTTGCCACCTCTATTTACCCATCCAAGCATCTATACATCCATACTGAACACCCGTACAGATTGCCAGAAAAATACAAAAAAGAGGTTCGACTGGCCCGTACTGTTTATTTAGTAGCAGCAGCAGATGAAATGAGCAGAGTGACAAAGAAGACTTATGTAACACCCTAAATGACAAGCTAGCAAACTATCTAAACAGAAAGTTACAGTTTATTTATATAAAGAGAGAGCTGTACTCACCAGCCTTTTCAGTCTTATGTGGTTGTTTGGTAAGCTCCTGACCAGGCAAACAGGGACACAGCCCATCACATTTTATTGAGATCGTCTTCCCAGACAGACAGCTCTGGAACTCCAACTTACACTGTAAAGAAAAAAAAACACACACACACAAAGAAACAAGTTTAATGGAGGCTTTATTTCACAGATTTGAGGGCTGGGATCTCCAAGGGACAAAAGGGGCACTTGACTGACTATACATAACTTGGCATATAAAAACAATGGATAATATCTAAAGGAAAAGTGTATCAAAAACAGTATTTTTACCTCATCAGGTATTTACAGGTAAAAATATTGCATTTTTTCCTGTTGAATTTATTATCTTGTACCTGACCTAACCAGAAAACAGTCAACATAACTACCTTTCTGCAGACAACAAATATGCATGGAGTTCAAAAGATGTAGACAAAGACCAGGCATTGAATGTCTGATGAAGAGGTCCTATTGAGTTCTTCGTTCTTATTCATGTCTGCCTTACTTTATGGAAGTGCAAAACTAAACTGGGGCAACGCTTTAAAGAAAATAAAACTAAACCAAAGAATCATGAATTGTTATAATCAGTATATTAGTACAACAAAAACTTTGAATATTTAAGTTTGTTTGTTGGGCTGATTAAAGTAAATATTTGCTGAGACAGGATTGGTCATTTATCTTCGATGAACAGATGTGTCCATTAGGCAGCCATGTAGACACACCATTAGACACAGAGATGCCCAGTGACATTCTATTATTCACTGCAGTACAAATCTAATGCAATGCAAAAAGCAAGATGGACTACTTCAGAATGTAATTTAACAGTATAAATCTCATTTCAGGTAAGTGAGGGGTAAGAAATTGTTTGGACTAGTTGGGGGGAAAAAATCCAATTACAAGATCCTTCCAAGAGGAATAATGAAAACTGAAATGAGTTATGTAAATTCTGTTTGCGAGATGATGACGACGTTTCGTCAGGGTGAGACCATGACTGCGCATAAACATCTATACAAATATCATGCAATACACAGGCTTAGCCTTATCCTGCCAGCACTTTCATTTCCCATGTTCTAATTCAAATCCATCATTTCCTCCCTGTCACCTCTTTGATAGCGCTGCTAATGTTGCTTAATGAAATTTGTTGACAAAGGAACAGTGCTCTGTCCTGTTCTCAACATATTGAATTAGCTGTCTGGGAAGGGGGACAGAGAGAGAGACGAAGAGAGAGACAGAGGGAGAGGGAGGGAGAGAGAAAGCCCAGGAAATGGATGACCTCCCCCAGTCACTGTCAGCACACTGAGAGGCCCCATGAATCTTTATGTTTGTCTCTCTCCAGGGGTTAATGTGGTTTTGATGAAACAGTGTTTTAACACCTGACTTGGTGGAGTAAAAATAGAGGAGAGGAGAGAAGAGAAGAGAAGAGAAGAGAAGAAAGAAGAGAAGAGGACGGGAGAGAAAGGATGATTTAAGGGGAGGGAAGTAATGGACTTAACTTAGTGGGCTGAAGCCTCTCAGGAGAAAAGAGCACTGTCCTCTTAATAGGATATTGAGTGTGTGAGAGAGTATGTGTGTGTGGCTACGATGAGGGAGGCATGTAATGTAATAATAAAACATGAATAAGCCTGAGACCAGCAGCTCACTGGTGAGCAGAGTTTAAGTTGGGCCACAGGGACCCATCACTCCACCAGCTAACTGAACCCCTCCAACTAAATTACCGCAGAGAGCAGAGGGACTTCCCAGCCCTCCACATCCTTTTTGTTCTTCCTCTTGTTTCTCCTCTAACACTTCTCCTCAGCACAGCTTCAGGCAGGTAGGTCATTAGGAAAGCCTATGTCCTGACTTCCCCATACGCAAGGAGTTGGAGCTCCTAATCTCAGGCTGTTTCAAACCTCGGGTGGAGGCTTAACCCCACATTTAAACCGAAAACAGCAGGATCACCAAATGTCTGGAAGTCCATTCATTTCCTGCAGAGCTGAGCTGAAAAACACAGCTGATGTGTGGATGGACAGCGAGCTTCCCAGTGAAGAAAACATGACCGCAGCTGAACTCCTTCTCACAAAAGTTTGATTTTTATTGATTCTGTCTTCTCAGGCACTACTATATATTTAAGGATGACTGACTGAAATGCTGCAATTAATAAATAATACTAAGCAAGTGACTGTGCAGGTGTCCTGAAAGCTCAAAGCTTACTCTATTTTGTGAATATTGCTGTCACAAACACTTCAGCTGCGCAGGACACTCAAGAGATGTCTTATATTGTCTATTTGTATGAGGTGCCTGTGTATTGGATTGTGCGTCACCCCTGGCAACCAAAAAAATGTGGATGTCAATAAGAATCCAAGGACAGACCCACAATGCCTCACTTCTTTATGTCTTTTCCAGCCACGGATTTCACTCTTAGTCTGACCTTCCTCTGCTCCTCTCTCCTTCATGACTAATCACAAAGGTCAAACCTTCTTCCCTATCATGACATGACATTGAGAGTTTGTGTGTAATTTAATGTAGCTGAGGAAGAGATTATGAGCAGAGGTCAGTGGCTGGGAAAAAAAGCTAGAGTCAGATGAGAAGATGAAGGTCAGAGATATTTTCCAAATCATCCAGAGAAGATTTGTAGTGGCTGAAAAGACCCTGCTGAGAGCTGTCCTTGTTCTCAGTCATTTGTGTAACACAGAAAAGTACTGCTGAAATCAAGACAGTGGAGGAGGACAGGAGTCAATACACAGATGGGAAAATGTGACAGCAGAGAAGAGAAGAGGGGGCAGGAGAAAGATGGGGAAGCAGAGGGGTGAAAAGGTGGCAGATTGGGATGATTAAAATATCATCTATCAAGAAAAAGAAAGAAAAGTACGAATAATTTCAAATATTTACACTATAAATTATCCAACTCGGTGGCTCTTCAAGCACTGTTGTATGTCTTGAAGCAATCCTGTCCTTGATTTTATGGTTGAAAACACACTGAATTATTGATAAATAATATTAGCTGAGAAAATTACATACTTTAAAGCTGCAGTAGGTACTTTTTGTCATATTTGCTGAAACTATATCCTGACAGTAGTTTAAGAAAGATAGTTTATTGTTGAGTCTCATTCCCAGGTCATCAAATACCGACTTCAAGCCACCAACCCAAAGCATCTTTATATGTTTCTAGGCTCTGATTGGTTGTTTATGTTCAACCAGTTTGCCGTTGATTCTTGCAAATTCCATTAGGAGCTCAAGGAAGAGCAAGAAGAACCTGTTTTTTTCACAGATTATCTGTCTCATGTACTACTGTCCGTATATAGTGAAAGTTTCAGCAAATATGACAAAAACATATTTATATAAAAGTTACCTACTGCAGCTTTAAGTGAGAGAAAAGCAGTGAGGAAGAAGAGTGTGAAACTTAAAGAGAGATAAATGGAAAACGGATGTCTCACCTTAGAAGAGTACGTGTGTCCATCAGATCCACACACAGGAGTTGACTGGATCGCCGAGCAGAGCCTACATTTCCCATGAGCACCAGCTTCAAGCCTGTGCTTGTGGCCTGCACTGCCTTTCCTGGGTTTCACACTGAGAGAGACAGAGAGAGGGGCAACAATACTCAGTTAACAATACTACTTAGAGACTAATGAGTCTGAATTACGATGTCAGTAAAACAAACACGAGGTCTCCTGCACATACATGAAAACACATACAAACAATAATATCTACAGTGCTTGAAACCAAAACCTTTCTAATGTATATATTGCATTTTCCCTAACATTACTCTCATAAATTTATGTATGAGAGAAAATTGAAGTGCAGTAATAACTTTCCAGGCAGGGATATTATCCAAACTATTAGAATCAGTTTTCTACTGAGCAGAAAGTGTTTCTGGTTGTCAGGGTCAGCTGACGCAGAGTGAATCCTGATTGGTCCATCGAGGACTTTTCTATAACGAGTGTAATTATGGTTGATCCAAATCTTGCAGCAATTTTCTATCTAAGTGCTCTCACTGAACACCCTGCTGCCTCTCCTGATCCATCGAGCAGAAATGGAATTAGAGACAGACTCTTTACACAGAAACTAATGTGATGAAACAAATGATGCAAAATGAACATCAGTTACTTAAGTGAACAGGTGGACAGTCATACAAACTCTTCCACACCTACGCTCCAAAATCTAAATCTAAAACCTCCTGCACACTGTCTCGGTTATTTCTTGAATATTTATTTATATACAACATTTCGGTCACATACCTTCCTACATTACCTACAGTGGATTATCATTGTGAACCACAAATAATAAATAATAAAATAAAATGCAATAGACATTTTTCTTTTAAGGTCGGTTTTCATAATATTAAACAAATATATATATAAATGTACTTCAATTTGTTCAATAAAAAAAAAAAAAAAAATTAATAACCCTGACTGATGTCTACAAATTAAAAGAGGGGACCTCCACAGACTGCAGTGAAAGCAACTGTGGTGAACGCAAACTGAATAGGTACATAGACTTTCTTAATGTCTTTCAAAAATGGAATTTAATTCAGTATCTCTTTGTGACATGAATATTCTGAAAATGATTAAATCCCTTTAATGTACAATAAATTATGTTTGACCTTATCAAGTTGTTTGACTTCCTAAATATTTACAAAAATGTATAAACGTATGCTGTCTATTTTGTAGAACCAGACTATCCAAGGTATAAAATGAAATTAAAATGAAATATGGGCAAGATAATACAGGAATACTAAAACACACAAATCCAACTAAAGATTGATGTTTGTTGATACCTATAGCATGTGGGTACAGTGGCTAACTTTTAAGGTTTAAAATAAGTCAGTCTTTATTTTTGTGAAACTTGCATTGGACTAATTTAAGAGCAACATTAAAAAACATTAAAAGCTTGGATATAAGACCAAAGTCAAACAGATTATAACATCACAGTAAGTAAGAGTTCATTATTCACTCCCTTTGTGGACATCTACACTCTGTAAAACTAGAAGATTAAAATCCCTGGCAGCGTGCCAGACACTTTATTGGTTCTTTAGATGTGTCACACTTACTGTCAGAGCCACAATTATTGCCACGGCAGATTAGATATGCACATTGCACCAATAAATAAAACGGCAGATATGGTTAGATCAAGGTATGATGAAACTAGGTTGATGTTTGAGATGTTTCCCCTCATCTACCAAATCCAGTGCCTCTCCTACTCTCTTATCAAGTGCTCTTTGCATAAATGCAGTGAAGCACAAGTATGTGTTCAAGTTATAAGTGTGTTTTGAAGGGTGGGATTTGCTTGGCCTGGGAAATTAGTCTATGCATGACAAATATTCACTGGGAGAGACAGCTACAGAGAGAAGAGTGGATATATGATCTATAGACATATTAATCTCAAACAGAAACAAGAAAATGATCTCTCTCTCACTCCCTCATATACCACTGAGCTTCAACCCCCTGTTGAGAGTCTCCATGTTGCTCTAATATGGAAAATGTTTGATTTGACGGGACCACAGCCCCCTCACAGCAGGTCGTAGGTGCACACAAATTAACACTGCAAGCCTCCATAATGTTTTTTGAAATATAACTTTCAGCTAATGTAGACATCCAAGCCTGCAGCCAAACATTATTGCCTCATAAGGGAAGTCAGGAAGTCTGTGCAGAACTATATCAGTTTTAACAAGAAGAGCAAGAAGTTATGCCTGGGAGTTTTGTATTGACACCTTCTTAATAGAGGACAAAATTTATTTGCTTGTGGATTTTAGTAAACACAACAGTAACACAAAAGTGTGTATAGTGCATTTTAAAGAAGGCAATTTTGTTACAGCAGTGACTAACAATGATGAATCATCTCCTAGATATACATGCTGCGGCATAGTGTACATTAACTATATTTCTCAACACCTGTTTGCAAATGTCTTGAGAGCAACACAGTTTGGATTTGCCCTCTGAGAGGACAATAAATCTGTGTTATGCTAATTACTACAACTAATTTAACTCGTAGATAAAATAATATCATGGTCCAAAGCTTCAGTGAATGATGCTGTTGGGAAAATACAGGTTTCAGGTGAATAGTTTGACATATTAAGCAGCAAATACGACGTGTAATTAACGCAATACAAAGAAAAGCATTAAAATCAAGTATCTAAGGAACTAATGACTTGAGGAAATCAATTAAACTCAAGACAGACAAAATATTCAGATATCTTTTGGGGGAAATGCTTCTTGAACTGAAAAATTGAAAAACCTTAAAACTGGCACCATAACAAGGTTGGAAACACAAACAAATTGGAGTTTTATTGAAACAAACTGGTGTTGAGAATATGTGTCTGTATATCTGTCACTGAAGCAGATTGGATTTTTACACACTGTTAGCACACAAAACACAAAATGCTACTTTATTGCATGCTCCTGGTGGGTGTAATTTGTATAACCTGCCCCGAGGGCTTTAGCATACAGGGGTTCCACCTTGCATTGTAATTGTGAGTTACAGGTGTTCACTTCAACTTAGTAATATTTCCATATTAAGGACTAAGCATTAAACTCCACTGTTCTTTTGTAGATAAAACTGATTCTGAATCAACACAACACTAATTGTGTTTGGGGCCCTCTTTAACCACTCAACAACATATTAATATTGTTTTATCATCTTATACTTCATGACTTCTCCTTAAAAACTCACTTTTTATGTTTCAGTAGTACTTCTGTATTTTGACAACTGCGCAAGCACTGTTTTCTCAAAGAGGAGAGGACCACTTCAACACTTTTCTACCAATCGGGTAGTGGAACATGAAAAATATTTTAAAGGTAGAAAACAGGTTGATTTGTTAATGTTAATTTCACACCTACAGCAGTGGGGTCTGTGAGACCCCAAACGATGGGAAAGTAAAATGGTCGCATTTGTATATCGCTCCCTAAAGCCCTTCATTTAATTCACCCATTCACACACTCATTCACATGCTCATCAATGGCAGTAAGCTACCATGCAAGGTACTGGCCTGATCATCAGGAGCAATTTGGGGTTCAGTGTCTCGCCCAAGGACACTGGACTAGAGGAGCTATGGATCAAATCGCTAACCCTGTCATTAGGGGATGGCCCGCTCCACATTATAGCTGCCCACTAAGTAAAGCTAATGTTAACAACATTACTGGTTCTTACCTGTGAGTTGGCTGCTTGCGATTGGTGCAGATGGCTGTCTGGTAGTCATGGCTGACACACACCTTGTGAGGAGGGCAGCGCACCTTCAGACAGGGGTCCTTGGTGGCGTCTGGACCTACAGGGAGAGATCAGGGATAAACTTCATATCTGAGCAACAAAAAAGAAAGTTGGTGGAAACATGCAGAGTAGGAAAGCACAATCCAGCATTGAAGTTGAAAGTTGATGCTTCAAATAATCAAGGTGTTCTGGTTTTCCAGCTGGCAGATTCTTACGTTCAAATAACTGAAGCAGGCAGAAAAATAATGACTTGGAGAAAAAGACGGAGAAGAAGAATGGTAAAAGGTATGAAGTAAACGTTGAGTTTTCCGCAGTGTGAGCTGCTTAATGAGGACTATTCTCTCTGAGCGTCGACCCCATCCTCTTCCAAATCAATCTCTACAGTGACATTATCGCCGTGGCAGCCAGGCACAGCTGGCTGGTGTCCAGGGTGACAAAAGATCAAAGCAGCTCATTGACTCTGAGCATTGTGTCATTTCACACTAGGCTAACAGCAAAAACCCACTTTCATTTGACAGAAGTAAAGGGAAAAAACAGAAGGTGGAGGTGAAAAAGACAGCGACACAAGCTTTTTCACTAACAAGGACCATAGCACAACAATGTCAGTTTAACGGTTTACTGAAATGATGAAGTACTGGATGTTTAAGATGGATCAAGGCATGTGAGAAAGGGGATGAACATGGAGGAGGTAGTCGTCCATTAAGATCTGGATGGATGTATTGAAGGATGGGGATCCGTCTCAGCAGTTAAGTTGTCTGAGCCGATTATGTGCCAAAGTTTGATGGAGAAAATTAAGATTGTAACAAATGTAGGAGCGATATGCTTGAGATGACCAGCAACTGTGGAGGGGATGGTTGGAATAGTGTTCAAGATGTGCAGGAAATATGTAGGACTTGGTGAAAATGCTTGTGTAACCAGAATCGAGTAATTCTCCCTGTTTCGATAAGAAAGAGTGGGTATGAATATTACTTATATAAAATCAAAAAATTAGATAACATATAAATTACATATAATCCTTTTGATTCTTTGGTTCACATGGTTTCTGTAAAATGAACCAAACAAATTTATATTTGTGTAGGCGATCCAAGCAGCTTAGAATTCCCTCAAGTGGGCGACCCGGTGGGCTTTAAAAGGTTTTATACATCCAAAGAATTTCTATAAAATCCAGACCAGGTGTCTAATTGAGACCTGTGTTTATTTGTCAAAATGTGTAGCCACATCAGGCTAGTAAATGAGACCTTAAGGGGAATGCCTTTCCCTTTTAGTTGGGTTCAGATGTGAATATAAACACGGCTGATGCGAAGATGAGGGAGTGTTTCGTGCATTTCCAGGAACTGTGCATGAAAGAGGTGTTAGTGCAACTTTTTAGATTGATGCAAGGGTGCGATTAAGCAAAAAGCACAGTTTGTTGTCAAGGAAACTGAGACAAACAGCACAGGATGTGTTAACCAGGTGTAAGTAGGCTTGACAGTTGATTAGAGTTCATTAGTACAAATAAAGACATACCAACATCAGGTGGACTTTGGACTGGTGACCCTGTCAATCACAAATGCTCTACCAGATATGCAATAAAGAAAGATAAAGCCCTTAAAATGAAAAAAACACAGCAGAAATTACAAAGTGAATTTTAAACTACATAGTCAACATGGTGAACAAAGTAAAGATGATTTAATCAAGATACAGTGTACAGAGTGTACTGTATAGATCAAAGCGTAGAAGTCATTAGCATGTGGCTGCTAACATCATAAAATGAGAGTGGCCTTGTCTCCATTAGGGGCCTAATGGGTTGTGTTTGAGCCACAGCTGGTGTCCGCTGTGAACATCAACTAGTTTCTGACCTGATCGCACACTACGCTGCTGTTTACATGCTGGTTTATCAACATTAAATCAGCCAGAGAGTCAGACACGATGGCGGTTTTCTTGTCTTTGCTTGCAGTACCGCTGTAATCTCAACAACCATCTATACGAATGAACGAACACCTACACATATCAGCTCTTAACATTACATACAAAATATATCTGGAGCTGTCTGGAAGATATGGGAGAGCTTTCTTTATCTTTGAGGTATAAGAATGAGCACACACAATAAAGATAGTGAAGCTTAGATAGTCTCAAGGGAAGAGATTCATAGTACACTGCACACATCTGTCATAACTGAGCAACACACTTATTTCCTTACAATCTGTAAAACACATACACAGATATAAAAACACATTAAGAAGCCCGAGTGCCCTCTCATATTCCCCAGAATGCAGAGAGATGATATGTCAACCTTTCTCCTGATAGCTGTCTGCTCTGCTGCGTGTTTCTGTCGCCTGCTTATTTGGGCCTGTCCTCACCTCCATCTATCAGTGCTGCAGGAAACCCATCTTATTTCACTTCACTGCAAAATTACTTTATCACTGTGAGGAAATGAGAGATGAAGGGAGAGAGGGAGAGAGAGGAAGGATCGAGGAAAAGGGAGGCTCGTATCTGGTTAACAGGATTGGAGGACAATTTAGGATTAGGGTGTGACCTCCACTCTCAGAGAAATTGGAAATCAGACACACACATACAAATGAGCAAGTAAGTTTATCCACCTACAGTACACACACAAATTCACAAATCACATGTACATGATTACAAAGATAAAACTTTCTCATAAACTGTAAAAAAGTTCATTTGGAGAGACAATGATGCCCTGAATGTGAAATCGTTTTCAATTGATGCGACTTGAATATTTATGGTATATATAGTAGGAGAGGAGAGGAGAGGAGAGGAGAGATGAGGAGAGGAGAGGAAAAATAAAGGGGAGGAGAAAAGAAAAGAGGAGAGGAAAACAGGGCAGGAAAGGAAAGGAGAAAACGACATGATGAAGAGTAGGAGGAGGAGGAGGAGGAGGAGGCAGGGAAGAGAAGCGAATAGAAGATTGTAGGGTAAAAGAGAGTTTTATCCATCTATTTAAAGCTTGAGTGAGCAGCTTCGGCGGTTAAACCAGCCAATCAATTGTAATGCAGGAGCACTGCAGCACACTCTCGCCACCTCTCTTTCACTTTCCTCAATACAAGTCTCTCATCTCCTTTTATTTCCCTCTTCTTTATAATCTTAAGTATGACTTTATTCTCATCCCTGTGTGAGTGTGTGTGAGAGTGTGTGAATAAGTCAATATGCGTGAGCAATATAACTTGACATGCCTTATTGCATACATATTCATTCCAAAGTGCCAAGTAAAACTCCTTTTCACACTCTAAACCCCATTTTTACCTTGAAAATGTTATTGATTTATGTAAATGAACAAGGTTGTCTGCTGCTGATAAGACATTGCCAAATGAACAAGTGTAAAGGATTCATGCCTGCGTGTGTGTGTGAAGTATTATGATTCTTCATTAATGGAGAGGCGGTGACGGCGCAGTGCTTTGAAACTGGTAGCCGATAAGGGAGGAACAAATAGGGAGAAGTCTATGTGTGTGTATCCTCTATAATGTTACAGTTACGGTTTGTGAGGAAGGTCAACAGTTCTGCACATAGACACCGGTACCAATTTGTCCATTGTCCTTGGCCATATGTAAGGTTGACTGATGACCCCTTGGTGCGGGGATACCAGTCTGTAGGGGTGAGACGGATGGAAGAGTTGGCAGAGCTGCAGCTGAGGGTGGTGAGGGTACAAGACAGCAGATCATTAACAAATGAACTCAAATGTCCTCAGTTTGAATTCAAGTTGGGCACATTTACATTTATTTACTTCTCTAAACACAGTTTGGTGCTGTTTGTCATTTTCAAGCAGCTGTTTGGAATATAAACACTATATCCCGGTGTAAACCCGTTAAATGAATGTGCATTTCAGTCAAATCATTTAGAGCAAATGGTCATATAGTTTCATTTGGTGGAAATGCCACCAAAAGACCCCCCCCCCCCCCCCAAAAAAAATGGACTCTACAATAACAACCATCTTAAAAATTAAGTGCATCTCCCATGTGGATTTAATATTAGATCCATCTAACTTTATTAGATGAATAAGTGATGCAAGCTGAGACATGCTGTGGGATTTTGGTCCTAGATTTCTGACACTGTCAGAATCTGGTTACTAAAGCTCTAAATTAGCTGTTGGTGGACTCTCAGTGTGATCTGACTACCGTTTTTGATTGATGACCAGTGGTTTTATCATATTTCTCTTACGGTTGTCAACTTTCGCCTGCACAGTGTGAAGTGGCCATTAGGAGGAGGTTGGGGTGATTGGTTGTTACTAGTCAGCTGGTAGCTGAGCAGCAAAATGCAAGCGTGACTACAGCACTCTGTATGAACAAAAGCTGTGCTCCATTTATGAAGAAAATTCTGTTTAAAATACATTTTTAAATGTATTTGGAAATACCTTGACATAAAACTGAAGTGATCTCATATATTCTGTTTATATACAGTATAATCTATTTATGTGCAGCATCTACAGCTTTAATCACATAAGTAGCAAGCAAGCAAGCATATGCACCATGAATTGTTGGAAACATTTGGGATAATATAAGTACAAAATGTAGACCATCTAATGTCTGCAGAAATATTATACCTTTAAAGGGAAAGTTGTGTCCATTCAGCAGCTCTCTTTTGGGACGGATTGCCATTGTACAATGCTGAGTTGTACGACCTTTACAATCTGACTTTCAAAATCGGTTAAAATGGACACCTCGTGGCTGCTGTACATTTCACTGCTGTGTTGCTGCATGCTTTTGAATACTCTGCTGTTGCTGTAATCCCAGCATCAACCAAGCTACCATCTGGTCAGATCTGCTTTTATATACTGGGGGGGAATCAATATACTCCTTGGTTGGTAGCTCATGCTCAGCAAGCACAGCAAGTAAATAAAAGAAAATGTATTCCCTGCTGAAATCAAAAGTTGTGCTGCATCTTTGGAAAAAAAAACCTTCATCTGACCAAAAGTCAAAGTAATTTTCATCAAGTTAATGTCAAAATAATGTCCATATACATTATCTAAAATTCTCTGTGTGCATGTAAAGGGATATGTGGATTCTACGTGAGAGCTTCTGTTCTTTTAATTTGTTTACAAAGTATTTGTCTTTTTTTTATTTG